TGTTTTAATCAATTTAGACTGAAGCCCGCAGAAGAACTATTAATGCCAAACATTTTAGCCTTTTCTGGAGCATGGTTAGGGTGATGTTCAGTATAGATCACGTGACCGACGCTAATTACTGGCAGGCAAACGGTCAAAAAGAGTACATTAAAAGCATGCCTATGCAATTTTTAAGGCAGTACTCTTAACTTAATTCATCAACCTAGCATGATTATTCTCCTGGTGCACTCGCCATCCTGGTGTTCTCCTGCCACCCGTGCTTACATCGCAGAGCAAACTTCAGAGAGCCAACGCTATTTCGTTGTAAGCAACGGAATAGCGTTGGCTCTCTGACGCTGCTCCTGGTTGTTGGTAGCCACTGCATACCTCCGCCGTCAAAGGCAGCCGGGCAGCGCTTGCAACAGCTTCGGAATGTACGAAGAAAGCGCATGAATGCGATTTAATATACTACGCAGAAGATGTTCGACAGTCACTCTTAACCCATATGAGGTAGCTGTAGTCGGCGTGTACTGGAGTCTGCATGTCGGTAGATACGTTGCAAGTCGTCGCCGTAGCTTGATGTATCAGGTCCAGTTCGCGATTTGTACAAAATATCGCTAGCTGCCCGTCACGGTCAGAACTAATTTTAATAAGCATATATATGAACCGTGGTGGATCTGCAAGTCCGGTTGTCACCATCACTGCATAGCACGTTGGTTGGGAGCGATGAAGTTTTCGTGGTCGCTGTTTTGGTTCCGTAGTCGCTGCTAGAAGTTTTGCTTCTCCCGCTAGCACGTGCAGCCCCAGAGCTCACAGGCTCTATATATGGCTCACATCCAACATATCCATATCCCCAGCCACCCTAGTGGAAACTCCCCTTTCTACCCTTGGTGCAGAAGTGCTCCACAAATGAACTTCAGCATTTCACCCCCTTAGCCAGCTAAGGAATGCCTGACCCAGCGGACAGAAGTACGACTATAGAGAAGAAAGGAATTCTCATTCTGGCGCCTGCCATGTTCGGACAGCCCGCAAACGCGGAGATATCCTCTATATATTGCTTTCGCCCCACGAACACTTTCGCCTTAATGGGATATGGATACTTCGTTCCAGTGTGACAATTTCTCCGGCCAATTGTCGCCTAGCCGCAAGAAAGCAAACCCTAGTCAGCATCCATTACTCACGCTGGGATATTGAATCTTTGACACACTTTGCGTAGAGTACTTAAATTTTTTCCTCTTCTTCTCGGCAAAGAGCCCTCATGAGTAAGTTTTGCTATACATTAGACTGTACAGATATGCGGGCGGGATGTGCAGTTCGCGTCTGGCCCCCCTTAACCATGCGGTGCTACCAAGTGTAACGACAGTCCTCAGTCTTAGCTGAGGACCTCCGTGTGCTTCGAAGGGGGGCAAAGTTCAAAAAGTTCGAACAGCTTTTCTCCTGTATCCAGGCCTCCTATTCACAGCAGCACAAAGGCCTGGGGATGATACAACGAATGTGTTGCAGCAGTCTCCGCTACAACTCCTGCTACAAGGCAACCCTTCATGCAAGCTCACACAAGCCCACATTGGATGCGCAGACCAACATTATACAGAAGTGTTAAACACTTTTTCTCCTCACCAGAAAACCTGCGTGCAAGTAGAAATGCATATACTAACTTCAGATATACTGTGCAACATCAACCCCCAAACACAACGTGTAATCGCGCTAGACTATAAGGAACTAATTTTAAGGTATTTATTTAGAAGCATTGCAATAAACCTTCAAGGAAATTTATTTTTTCAGGTTCTTTCTCCATTGTCCGCTTATATGTGCACAAGGTGGACAACCGCCTGCTTGCTTGCTGCCTCTCCTATATAGGTGAGCCTGAGGTGCAGCAACAAAGTGCATAAAAGCTACGCCAGAGACCTCATAACAACCGTAAACAGCTTGTGTGTGCGTCAAGTTACATTAGAAATAAACTGGATTTGCATATATTATTCATGTCGATAGACTGTGCTCGATGGGCTCGGGGGGGCCCCACAGGGGGCCCCTGGCTCCCAAGTGAAGAAGCCCCTGGTATTGAAAAAAAAGCAAATAAAATTCTCCTACGCTGCGCTGGTGTACAAAAGATATAAAAAAAAGTAATGTTCAGAAGATGAAATGAAAGAAGGACGGGCACACAGATAGGGCTTGCCGCGCGCGGCTACACCGAGAGGCTAAAACTGAATAAGCATAGCGGTATATGGGTTTCTCTACAACTTCCTGATATTAAACCAAACATGTTTCTGAATAGGGTTTAGTATTGCATCTGGGGTTCTGCGTAAAGGGTTTAGGGTTTACGCTCAAGGCTGCAACCTCCGTATTCAAATCCTACCTGTATAGCCGTACACTGCTTGTATCTCTTTTCCTCTGTGCGGCTCCTGCATGCCAGCCGGCAGCGACCCGGCTTGCCCTGCAGGCCTTGATGGGTTCCCCTCAGGTGTTGGTGGAGGCC